TTTTCCAAAAAAACAAAAAACAAAAACAAAAACAAAAACTATATTTATGATATTCATTAATTACATTAATTGTATTGATTTATTACATTCATGATATTATATCCTGATACTCCTGTCCATTTGTGGGGCTTTTCCATCACACCAAACAGAGATTCTGTACTGAGGAAATCATTGCTCTATATTCCTTTCTTCTCTGTCTCAAGATAACATCTAATCTTTCTGTCTCTATGAATTTGTATATTCTATGTATTTCATGTAATATAATTCTATAGTATCTGTCCCTTTTTTAATGTAAAAACATTTTATGTACAACTGCAGGAGAAATAATACACAGATACCTTGAACATAAAAACAGGTTATAATTCAAAAGTCCAGGGTTATTTGAAACTGGAAAATATTTTCTCTGTAGAAAATAGTAAAAATAATAACATTTCCCAGTAAGCCCTTTTAAGCCAAATAATAGCTGAATTATACATAAATCATTTTTTAAAAGTTTTTAAAAATCATATTCAATTATTTGTTTAGCCATGCTGGTGATAGAACTTAGGTAAGCCTGTACGGCAGCCATGACAGGGTTTCATGTTGCCCAGGCTGGCCTCAGACTCACTATATAGCTAAGGATGATCTTGAATTTCTCATCTTCTTGATCCCTCTCTCCACCACCAAGGGTTGGGATCACAGATCTGCACCACCATGCCCAGTCAATGCAGTGCTGGGGACCAAACCCAGGGCTTCATGCATGCTAGGCAAGAACTCTACCAACTGAGCTACAGCCACAGCTGTACTTTGTTTTCTAAGACAGAATCTTGCTATGTAATGCTGACTGATGTAATCCTTACTTGTTTTGTGGCCTATGATGGCCTCAAACTCATGGAAATCCTCCTGCCCCAGCCTTCTCAGTGTTGGGACTGTTCCGTTGGAGACTCTGGCTCTCCCTTATATTGCTTCAGAAGCCCCATCCCCCCTCCTCTCTCAATCTCTCCCTCCCTCCCTCTCTGCCCAGTTCTGCATTCTTGGCAACTGTTCCAACTTTCCCCGCTGATGCCGCCAGCTGCCCAAGTGTCAGCCTAAGTGCTCAGCTTTTGACCATACTTGGGCACAAACCTGTTTGTGGCAGTCACATCATCACCCCTCACCATCAGTCTATAAAACCTCACATCATCACCCCTTACCATCAGTCTATAAAACCTCCCTGCCTTAGTCTTGGTGCCTGACTTCTCTGGTCTTGTTCTCTGCCAGGGAGTTTCTTTGCTCAATATACCTCTTGTTACACTTTTTCAATTCAGCTTGATTTGGCTTACTTCATAGGTGGAGAAACTTATTATGGGGGTGGGTGGGCAGAAAGCCTATTAGGGATCATAGGCATGTGATCCTACTACAATCAGCTCAGGATTAAACCTTTCAAGTCTCTGTAAACTATTCAAATGAAAATTCCTCACAGGCCAGGTGGTGGTGGCTCATGCCTTTAATCTCAGCTCTGGGAGGCAGAAGAAGGCAGATCTCTGAGTTCAAGGCCAACCTGGTCTACAGAGTGAGTTCCAGGATAGCCAAGTCTACACAGAGAAAACCTGTCTCAAACAAAACAAAACAAAAAAGCAGAGAGTATAATGAACTGGAACTGGCTGTATAAAGTGTTATAGGTTGAATATGAATTGTGCCCCACCACATATCTGTGAACATTTGGTCTCCAGCAGGTGGCACTGTTGGGGCCTAAGTGAAGGAAATGAGATACTGAGAAGCAGGCCTTCTGGTTTATAGACCAGCCAAGGCCAAGCTTCTAGGCCTCTCCCTGCTTCCAGACTAATCCAGATTGGAGCAGGTTCCCGCCACCACAGTGAAGAACTACTTCCTCTGTGATTCCCACCACCATTGTGATAGTTTGAATAAGAATGGTCCCTATAGACTCATATATTTGAATGCTTAGTCATTCAGGAGTGGCACTACTTGAGAAGGATTAGGAGGTGTGGCCTTGTTTGAGGAAGTGTATCCTTGGGGGTGGGCTTTGAGGTTTCAAAGAGGCCCAGGGTCACTCTCTCTGCCGCCTGTGGATCTGGATGTAGAACTGTCAGCTACTTCTCCAACACCATGTCTGCCTATGTGCCACCATGCTCTCTAACTTGATGATCTTGGGCTAAACCTCAGAAACCATAAGCAAGCCCCAATTAAATGCTTTCTTTCTTAGAGTTGCCATGGTGTCTCTTCACAGCAATAGAACACTGATTAAGGCAACCATCCTGCCACAGTGAACTGTATCTCCTCAAACTATGAGCCAAGGCGAATCCTCCTCCCTTCTCCCTTCTGTTGCTTCCTTCTTTCAGGACTACTCAGAGGTTAGTACTTACAAAACCTCAATGCTGGGGTGCAGAAGGAAGGCAGTCACCCAAAGCTCAAAGGCACATGGTCCCTAAAGCTTGTGTTGGCAGAAACTACCAAGTTCTATACTTCCAAGCCATTGCTCTTAGTCCTGCAGACGCCTCCCTGTGGGAGCCCACGGAGGTTTCCTAATGAGACCTGAGCTTGCTTTACCCAGCAGCGCTGCATTAGGGGATGGCTTGACCACGTGCATGGTTACCAGGTGTTTGGGATGGTCTGCACTTGGTTGTGCTGGGGGAGGTCTTTTGCTCCATCCCTTGGCATTTCCTTAAAAGCCCTTTAGCAGAGACAGAAGGGGCTGGTGGGTTTTGATCCAGGCCCTCCCGAGGCTATCCTATGTTTCTAACTCTCTTTTTCCTCTATGTTTCTGTCCAAATATTTCTCACTTCTCCCTCCTCAAGAGTACCCTGGGGGGGAAAAGTGGGAGCTGGTCTCCCTCACCACCTTGAGAGACAACACTGTTACTGTCATTTCCCACTGCTACCGAAGATACCACTAGAATCCAGAAGCCGGAAGAGAATCAGCTTCCTTTAATATATATATATATTATGATATATATATATATATCTCATACCTATGCTTCTTGTCAGCAGACTCTAAGTAGAAGGCAGCCAGGGAAGAGCTAGGAAAATACAGTTTGTCTTTCTCCGATGCACAGCGGAGTGAGGAGGTAGACAGGTAGGGCGGAGAGCAGCAGACAAATGACCAGAGTGATCTGTTCCTGTGCTCAGCCCAGTGTTCGACCTCATTAATCTACAGATACTTCTTATTACAATTGTAACAACCCACAAAAGGAGGCAGAAATCCCTCACACAAAGATCCATTCTCTCCCTGCCAAAAATGAGAAACGAAATTCATCTTTGAAGGCTGGGACCGGAGGCCAGTGATCAAGCATATGCTTAACACACAGAAGATCTTGGTTCACCGGGCGGTGGTGGCGCACGCCTTTAATCCCAGCCCTCGGGAGGCAGAGGCAGGCGGATCTCTGTGAGTTCGAGGCCAGCCTGGGCTACCAAGTGAGTTCCAGGAAAGGCACAAAGCTACACAGAGAAACCCTGTTTCGGAAAAAAAAAAAAAAAGAAGAAGAAGAAGAAGATCTTGGTTCAATCCAGCACTGAACAAAAAGGATGGATTGTTGTTGTTTACATATTTATTTTTATTTGATGCATATGTGTATGTACCCACAGAGGTACACATTTGTACCCACAGAGGTCCAATAAGGGCATCAGATCTCCGGGAACTGGAGTTACAGATGATTGTGAGCTGTCATACAGGTGCTGGGAATGAACCCAGGTCTTCTGCAGGAATAGCAAGTGCTATTAACCACTGAGCCATCTTTCCAGCCTCCAAAATTTTTTAAGGGAGAAAGTAGACTCTATCTCGTGTTTATCATTGAGTGATAAGTCCTCATGACAATCCATCTTTCTTGTCAGCTTAACTGAACATATAGAATCACCATGGAAACACACAACTGGATATGATTGTGGAGGTTCCTCCAGAAAGGTTCTGCTAACAGCAAAGATCTACTCTAAATGATGGCACCTTGCCATGGGCTGGGGTTGGAGACTAATACCAGCAATTATCTCTCTCTGCTTCCTGATTGTGGATACAATGTCACCCACATTGTATGACAATGCATAACCTCATGTTCCTGCCAACATGCCTTCCCCACCATGATAGACTAAATTACTTAGAACTCTGAGCCAAATATGGGCTGGAGAGATGGCTCAGTGGTCCAGAGCACTGACTGCTGTGGAACAATCTTTTCACACTGTAAATATGTATCACTCTTGTTGGTTAATAAAGAACTGAGTGGCCTATAGCTGGACAGGAGAGATTGGGCAGGAGAGCCAGACTATAAGGATGCTGGGAAGATGGAGGGCAGAGTCAGAAGAGTTGCCAGGAAATGCAGAGGGAGCAAGACATGCTGAAGGACAGATAAAGCCACGAGTCACATGGCAGCACATAGATTAATGAAAATGGGTTAATTTAAGTTGTAAGTGCTAGTTAGTAATAAGCCTGCACTATAGGCCAAGCATTTGTATATAATATTAAGTCTCCACATCAGTTATTTGGGAACTAGCAGGTGGGAAAGAAAAGTGTGCCTACAACTGACTGTTCTTCCAGAGGATCTGGGTTCGATTCCCAGCACCCATATGGTGGCTCTCAAACCACCTGTAACTCCAGTCTCAGGAGATCAGACATCCTCTTCTGGGCTCTCAGCGCACCGGGCATGTATATGGTGCACAGACATACAAACTGACAAAATAACCATTCACATAAAGTAAATTTAAAAATAGAAAAAGAAGCTGGGCGGTGGTGGCGCACGCCTTTAATCCCAGCACTCGGGAGGCAGAGCCAGACGGATCTCTGTGAGTTCGAGGGCAGCCTGGGCTACCAAGTGAGTTCTAGGAAAGGCGAAAAGCTACACAGAGAAACCCTGTCTCGAAAAATCAAAAAAAAAAAAAAAATAGAAAAAGAAAAAGAACTATTAATCAAAATGAGTCCTTCCTTCTGTGAGTTGATTTTGTCAGCCCCCGCTCTTGGCCCAACCGCACTTCCGTCTAAAATTCAAAGATACACTGGAGTCGGGCACCATACTGTCTTCGTAGCATTCTTTTCTTTTTTCAAGCTATATTAAAAGGCCTTATTTGCACAGGAGCAGGAATGTCATTAAACCAGCCAAATGCCATGTCCTCGTCTGACTCCTCAGACTCCTCTTCCTTCTTGTTTTTCTTCGCCTCCGCTTGCTGCATGGCAGAGCCGCTGGAGGAGCTGCGTCGGCAGAGGGAGCAGAAGTCAGCCGCAGCCCCACCAGCAGCCCCACCAGCAGCCCCACCAGCAGCCCCACCAGCAGCCCCACCAGCAGCCCCACCAGCAGCCCCACCAGCAGCCCCACTGGCCAGCTTCCCAACCTCCTGGGCCCTGACCTCGTCAATGTGTCTTTCATTCAGCTCACTGATGGCCTTGTTGAGTTGGTCTATGCCCACGCTGTCTAGAATCTTCTTGATGTCCTGGGCACCGCGGGAGGAGGTGGCCCCAAGGGTGATTAGCAGGTAGGAGGCAATGTACAGGCCTCCCTGTGCGAACTCAGGCAAGTGTGAGAAGATGCTGACGCAAGGGGCAATGAGGGTTTGAAACCACTTTTAACGTTCTTTCTCAGGAGCCTTTCATGAATCCCTTTTATCTTCAAAGACAAAAGCTGCTGAGGTCAGCGTCCCCCAAAGGTGTGGTTGAAGCCTTGGTCTCCAGCCTGTTGGAAGTAGATGGAACTAACTTTCTTTCTTTCTTTCTTTCTTTCTTTCTTTCTTTCTTTCTTTCTTTCTTTCTTTCTTTCTTTCTTTCTTTCTTTCTTTCTCTCTCTCTCTCTCTTTCTTTTCCTTCCTTCCTTCCTTCCTTCTCTCTCTCTCTCTCTCTCTCTCTCTTCCTTCCTTTCTTTCTTCTCTCTTATTTATTTATTGTTTTTTAAGATAGAGTCTCACTGTACAGTCATGGCTAGTGTGGAACTCACTCTGCAGACCACCCAAACCCTCAAATTCACAGGGATCCTGCCTACCTGTGCCTCCAGAGCACTGGGATTTACATGCCACCATAGCCAGTGTGGTGGAATTTTTAAGAGGTGGAGCTTGACTGGAAATTAAGTGATGGAGGGCATGCCCTTGAAGGGGATATTGGGACCGCTCCTGCTCTCTTTGCCCCCTGGCTGCAGGAAGAGAGCAGCTTCCTCCGGTGTATGCCAGGCACCATGCACTGCCCCACCCCACTGTTATGAATCCTAATGTAAATATCTGTGTTTTCCAAGGGTCATAGGTGACGTTTAGAAGATAAAGGCAGGGAGAGCAGAAGTTCAAAGTTATCCTTGTCCACTAAGTGAGTTATAGGTCAGCCTGAAGTACATGAGACCCTAATCTCCAAACAACAAAAACCAGGGATGGAGATGACTGTTCTGTTCTTCTGATCACGTGCTACAAAACCATGAGGACCAGAGGTCAAATGCCAGAACTCCTGTGACAGAGGGGCATATTGCCAGCTCCTGACATTCCAGCTGTTGGAGAGCTGACACCTTTGCTGGCCTCCATACATTTTCATACATGTGCACTGGTACACATATATGTACACATGCTCCCACAGATAACAGACATTCATAAATAAATAAAATAAATATATTTTAAATTTTTTCTTTTGTTTCTTTTCTTTCTTTTTTTTTTGGGGGGGGGGTGGTGGTAGTTTTCGAGACAGGGTTTCTCTGGCTGTCCTGGAACTCACTCTGTAGAGCAGGCTGACCTCAAACTCACTGAGATCTTCCTGCCTCTGTCTCCCAAGTGCTGAGATTAAAGGCGTGCACCACCACCACCCAGCTAGTTTTTTTTTTTTCTTGATGGTGTAGTGGCACATGCTTTTAATCCTAGCACTCAGGAGGGAGACGCAGGCAGATCTGTGTGAGTTCCAGACCAGCCAGAGCTGCATAGTGAGAGTCTGTCCCAATTTTTTTTTTCTTTTTCTCCTCATAAATTAGTTATCTCATGTATTTTAACAGTAATGGAAGTCTGACTAACATGGCTTCAGATCTAAGGCCTTACTAAACTAGACCAAATGCCCTTCTGTTACCTCTGTTAGCTTCAGCTGAACCCAGAGTCAATCTGAGGGAGCCTCAGTTGAGGAACTGCCTGGATCAGACTGGCCTGTGGGTGTGTGTGTGTGTGGGGGATTTTCTTGATTGCTAATTGATATGCAAGGGCCAGGACCACTGTGGGAGGTGCCACCTGGGCGGTGGGGGGTGGGGGGGGTGGGGGGGGATGAGGGAGTGGGGGAGGGTCTGGGCTGTTTAGAAAGCTGGCTGAGCTCCAGTCAGAGGAAACAAGCCGGTAGGCACTGTTCCTCCATAGTCTTCACTTCCTCCCTCCAGATTCCTGCCTTGGCTTTCGTCCACGATGGACTGTAACCTGGAAACTGAAATAAACCCTTTCCTCCCCAAGTTCTTCTGAGTCCGGTTGTTTAGTCCAGCACCAGGGACGCATGCCACGCTCCTCACTGTGGAAACCACACTGATTTAGAGTTCCCTTCCCTAACACACCTTGTCTGCCCCTCCCTCTAAGCTTTTCAGTTTCACTCCCTCCCCACAGTTATTCATTATTCAAGGCCTGGCTCCAGTTCAGGTCTTCCACACAGCCCTATCCTAAAGGCACAAGCCCTCCAGAACTATCCAGGCTCCCTGGGTTTGCTTTTTCCTGGCTACCCCACAGCACCCTGGGGATAATGTCTCCTACGTCTCCATTTATTGATGACTGGCTGGCTGTGGAAGTCGGGGAAATGAATTGGCAGTACACAGCGGGCTATTCATTTGAAGCCCAAGATACTAACTGCCCAACCTCTGCTTCCGGTAGTCTCCCTTAGTGCAGGCTATCTGATTCTGAATGATCTAATTCAATATCTCCATTCACCATCAGAACTTCCAAGTTCAGCTGGCCCTCAGAGACACTGTTTGCAGATTATGACCAAGCTAGCCGCTGGCAGGCTGAGGTGGTTAGTGATCAGTGGGGCTTGCCAGCCAATATCAAGACAGCAACAGAAAAAATGCTTTCCAGGGGTGCTGCTGGATGACAATTGTTCACCCTAAGAAAAGCTAGGACGGGTGGCCAGAAAACTTTAGAGATCCCAAACAATAATTTTCTGATTAGCTGTCCTGGGACTGGTCATGGCAAAGGTTAGAGTAAGTGAAATAGCCATAAATATTCCTTTTCTGTAGCGGTGTTGGTTTAGATTTGGTTTGGTGTCCTAAGGTGTGGTCTCATGTAGCCCAGGCTGGACTCACACTCTCTATGTAGCAGCGAATGGTCCTGAGCATCCTACCCCCACCTTCCAAATGCTAGGATTACAGGTATGAGTCACCTCGCTTTTTAGAGGGTTTTGTTTGTTTGTTTGTTTGTTTTTTGTTTTTTTGTTTTTTTGTTTTTTGTTTTTTTTTTGAGACAGGGATTTCTCTATGTAGCTTTGCGCCTTTCCTGAAACTCACTCTGTAGTCCAGGCTAGCCTCGAACTCACAGAGATCTGCCTGGCTCTGCCTCCCGAGTGCTGGGATGTGCCACCACTGCCCAGCCAGCCTTAGAGTTTTTTTTTTTTTTTTTTTTTTTTTTTTTTTGTTTTGTTTTGGTTTTTCGAGACAGGGTTTCTCTGCGTAGTTTTGCGCCTTTCTTGGAGCTCACTTGGTAGCCCAGGCTGGCCTCGAACTCACAGAGATCCGCCTGGCTCTGCCTCCCGAGTGCTGGGATTAAAGGCGTGCGCCACCACCGCCCGGCTGCCTTAGAGTTTTTAAGAGATGATTAATATACAAGTCTCTCAATTTGAATCCCAGTCTTGCAGAAAAGAAGCCAGGCTTGGTGGTACAAACCTATAGTCTCAAAACTTGGTGGGTAGAGACAGGATTGCCTCAGATTCTAGCCCAATCTAGTTTATATGGCAAAACTCTACCTTTTAAAAAGTAGAAATGAGCCAGGCAGTGGTGGTACACGCCTTTAATCCCAGCACTCGGGAGGCAGAGGCAGGTGGATCTCTGTGAGTTCGAGGCCAACCTGGTCTCCAAAGCGAGTTCCAGGAAAGGCACAAAACTACACAGAGAAACCCTGTCTCGAAAAAAGCAAACAAACAAACAAAAAAAGAGCCTGTAGATATGGCTCTTGTCACGGTCCTACCCAGATCGAGACAAGTTTCTGTCCCCAACTACAGTTCAGTTTTCCTCATTGGGAAAGTGAGGAAATTGAATTAGGTAATCTCCCAGGAACCTTCCAATCATGAAATCCAAATTTATCGCTCAGTGCTTTCTGTTCTCGTTATAAAGTATCTAACTACTCATTGATGAGCTGTCTGCCATGTTTGAGGCCGCCGCATACGACTGAACACATTCAGAGAGCACAGCTGATGTCATAATCTGTGTAAACTACACCCTGGTGTTGGGTGTTGTCTTAGTCACTTTTCCCGTGACCAGATACCCTGACAAAAGCCATTCAGAGGAAAGAGAGTTGCTTCTGGCGTACAGTTTGAGGGTGCAGTCCACCATGCTGGGGAGATGGAGCTCGATCCTAAGAACCCGGAGTCAGATATTGGGGTAAAGCTGAAAGATCAGGGAATCTAAGGAGCAGCCAGTCACTTCTTCCATCCCTGGATTCTCTGACCGAATGGGTCAATCTTGTCTGGGCAAATCCTCAGACTGAATGGGCGAGATCCTGTTTCTACCCCTCTTATATTCCTGTCTTCACCTCCCTAGCGCTGGGATTAAAGGTTTGAGCCTCCCATGTGCTGGGATCAAAAGTGTGAGCCGCTGGGTGGTGGTAGTGCACGCCTTTGATCTCAGCACTCAGGAGGCAGAGCCAGGCAGATCTCTGAGTTTGAGGCCAGCCTGGGCTACAGAGTGAGATCCAGGAAAGGCGCAAAGCTACACAAACCCCGTGGGGGGGGGGGGTGGAGCCACCACTGCCTGGCTTCTAGGATTAACTCGTGGCTAGCTCCACCCTCTGAGCTCCAGGCAAGCTTTATTTGTCAGAACACAAACAAAATATCATACAACAGGGAGTCATGGCGGCAGGAGCTGGAAACGGCGGCTTAGATCACGTTCACTGAAAGGAAGCCGAGAGCTTCTGATGATTGCTTTTTCTTTTTTCTTCAGTCCTGGATCTCAACCCATGAAACCCTCACAGTGGGAGGGTCTTCCCACCTCAGGTAACCTAATCTAGAGAATCCTCCACAGGCATGCCCAGTCTTGTCTCCTCAGTGATTCCGGGTCCTGGGAAGTTGACAGTCAGTATTAACCAACACAGGTGGTACACAATCCGATTATGCTCTTCGATTGGGTAAATAAGTAAGATCATGTAATTATATAATAAGTATATATATGTGTATATGTTTAACTTTTCTTCTTTTCATGTGCTTGTTGAGGGATACATGTGTCATGTGTATGTGTGTTCACATCTATGTGGGTTCAAGTGTGTATACAGGTGCACATATATGCATGTGGAGGAGGTCAGAGGTTGATGTTGGAAATCATTTTTTTTTTTTTTCTGAGACAGGGTTTCTCTTGGTATCCCTGTTGTTCTGGAACTTGCTCTGTTGACCAGGTTGGCCTCAAACTTAGAAATTCTCCTGCCTCTAGAGTGCTGGGATTAAAGGCGTAAACCGCCACGCCCGGCTAAATTCCTCACAAACCTTTTGAAAATGTCAGGGGATTGGATTATTCAGGTTTGGGGTGGGGGTTGGGTTTTTGCTGGTGTTGTCTATTTGTTTGGGAATGTTGTTCAGGGTTTTTGTGGATTTCTTATTTGATTGTTAAGTATGGGTGTGTCTCTGTGGGGGTGCAAGCACTTGAAGGCAGGTGCCTGTAGAGGACAGACAGGCGGTCAGATCTTCGGAGCTGGAGTCACAGGCAGGTGTGAGCTGCCCAGTATGGGTGCTGGGAACTGAACCTGGGCCCTCTGCAAGAACAGTATGTGCTCTGAGAGCTGA